TATTATTATTATTATTATTATTATTATTATTCTCATGCATTGACCTGACACCCTCACATATTTTCATAATGATATCAATCCTTATCATGTATCTTGTCAAGTCACTTTAATATTTTTAAATTAATTGTGTGACATGATTAAATGATGAATCCTTACTGAATGACAATGTAAAACTATTTTACAATGTCGTGTCAGTGCACCACCTTTAATCTCTTATTTTTATTATTATTATAATTAGTATTACCCCTGCACTTTGATTTGACACCTCCACATACTTTCATAATGACAAAACTAACCTTCGTATTATTTTCCTTTCAAAACAATTTACTCTTGAAAACTAGTAAAAAGAACAAAAAATCTGGTAGTTATTTAGAAATATCGGGTAGAAAAGTTTTCAAAAAAGGAAAAAAAATCAATTTTACTAGAATTTTAAAAATTCGATGAGTTTTTATCAATTTCTGTGAGAAATTTGGTATTTTGTTGCAGTTTTACCTGATTTTTAAGAAAAAACTAGAATTCTACGGGAATTAGTTTTGTATTGATCGGATATTTAAAAATTCGGTATATTTCTACATAAAATTTTAAAATATTCGGGAAACATTGAGAAGTTCCATATTTTTGGAAAAATATGGTGTATCGATATTTCGCAAAGAGAGTGAAATATCTAGTACTTCAAAATGCTTCATTTGGGCGGTCCATATTGTTATACGAAGGCAAAGGGAATGAATAGATCCCCAAATAAAAATAAATTTACGAAAACTTGAGTCACTGCGTTTTCGTGTTCATGAAGGCTCCCCGTGAGTGTATGCCTCGTAACTTCGTAGTTGCTGCATATGCTTCTCCCCCTTTGACAACATCAAAAAGAGACAATACAAGCACATTAGTAGTATCGTATAGATACTGTGAGGGAAAATTGTCTCAATCCTTATTTTAATGATGTCAAAACGTGTCTAGTTAGTACTTTGTATTTTGGATGGTATCATCAAGTCTTATCTGCATTCGTAGTTCTCTCGTGCACGAAAATATTTCAAAAACATGAGTCTATTCAAATAGAAGAGCATCATATGTGTGTTTGTGTGTGTTTGATTCTTTTGAGAGACTTAGGTGTGCATAAATATTGTTTAGGTAGACCAAATCATGCTCAAAAAGTCATTTTTGGAAGTTTCGAAGACTTGAGTCGACTCAAAGCCCTGCTTAAGTCGACTCATGTAATGTGGATTTTGAGCTTTTGCTCTCAGGTGTGCTCACGTCGACCCTTCGGTCGACTCATACTATTAGTGTTTGAAATTGTCATTTCTAGGTAGGTTTGCGTTGACGCATGGACCTGTTCCGATCGACGCATAGAGTCAATTTTTGCACAATTCTGAAATTGAGCGTGCTCAGGTCGAACCCCTTTTTTCTTAGGTCGATTGTTCGCTTGAATCACCCTAATTTTCTGATAGGTTTAATTTTCAAATTGATGTTATGGTTGTTATTTGGTCTTAGCTTCATATATATTCTTTTTTGGCTCATTCTTTTACAAACAACAAGAAATGTGAAATATTGACACTGTTTTTCTCTCATCATCTTCATCCTTTTGCTTGCATTTTCTCAACAACTACACATAACAATTTTTGTTAATCATTCTGCATCATTGAGGTAATAACGTCCAAACATAGGATATTGTATCGGGTTTGGGTTGAGAGATCGGTGGGTTTTTCTTAAATAAAACCGTTAGGATTTTGTCCTCCAAGAATCTTGAGGTTTTAGGAGAGTTTTTGCATAAATCATTTCTTCACAGATTCAGTCGAGCGAAGGTGATTGAAGAACGGGTGGTTCATTCAATCTAGTAGTGGTAACCGAAGAATTGTAGAATAAAGATTTGGGTTCGAATTTTGTGTGATTGAAATCAGTCGGGCTAAAGATTTGAAGACCGGTGGGTTGTTCAGACGAGTAGCTGGAATCAGAGGTTTATTCAACACATTTGAGGCATTTGATTTGACTTGAATCAAGGGGAGAGAAAGTATAGTTTCAGTATCAACAACTAGGCTTAAGTGTGTGATTACTATTGCTTCTCTTGTACCAACTTTTGCAACAGGTTAATATAGATCTCAATTTTATTTCTAGAATTGAGGGTAGATGTATCCCAAGAGAGGATGAAGGGGGAACTGCCTCAACAATTTTGGTGTTTTATCTCTTTTGCTATTTTTCCATTTTTGAATTTTTAACGTTTGTGTACAATCAAATTGCTCGATAAAAATTCTGGTATAGTGTAGTGCTGAAAAGTATTTTAAAAATTTATTACATTCATGTTGATTGTAATTGGAAAAGTTTAGCACTACCATTACTTAGAGAATTTCACTTGGGGTGTTTTGCACACCAAGTGTTCAACAAATTGATCGCACACAAACCATTTGTGTTGTTGTCAATTTGAGTTTAATTTTTATAAGTCATTGGAAATTGCACAACCTTAAATGAATCTAATTGTATTGATTTGTGTTCTAATATTGATTCATTTTCTCATTGGATTCGATATTCCATCTTGGCTTATCGCATATCCAATCTTTTCACTAACGGTTTGTTTAGAGGACCTTAGTTCCTCGCCACTTCCGCATAAATTTTAAAAACCAAATTTCTTTTAAGCGTCGTCTCTGTTTAAGAATTAGTGGTCTATTCAACCCTCCTTCTAGATCATTGTCGTCGTCTAACAAGTGGTATCAAGAGCACCGGTTCATTTCTTGCTTCGCATATAACTTTTTAGAATATGGAAAACGAACCAAAATGGGCTTACAATAGAGCACCAGTTTTTAACGGTGAGAGTTGTAGTTATTAGAAAGATTGTACGCGCGTGCATATCAATTCCATTGATATAAAGGTATAGAACGTTATACAAAATGGTCCCATAAAAATTACCGTGACCGATACGAATAGCGTTGTTGTGCCTAAGCCAGAAGCACAATGGAATGAAGAAGATGAGAAAAAGTATAACTACGATTGGAAATCTATAAATATTCTGATCTCCTCTTTGGGAGTTGATGAGTATTGTTGAGTTTCACATTGTACGACTCCTAAAGCTATGTGGGATGCATTGCAAGTTTCCCATGAGGGAACTAATGACGTCAAACTAGCTCGAATCAACACTTTGACTCAAGAGTTTGATCTCTTTCACATGAAGCAAGAGGAAACCATCACCGGCATGTAAAAGAGATTTACTCATTTAATCAATTGACTAAACTCATTTGGTAGACCAATTTCCAATGACGTTTCTACTAATAAAGTTTTGAGGTGTCTTACTAGGGAGTGGCAACCAAAGGTCACAACCATTAAGGAAGCAAATGACTTCATGACTTTGGACATTACAACTCTATTTGGAAAGCTCCAAGAACATGAGCAAGTGCTCATTAGTCTTGATCAATTTGAGAAGAAGGAAAAGAAAGAAAGGACCGAAGATACAGAAAAGAAGTCAATAGCTCTAAAGGCTTCTTGTTTAAAGTCCTTCGTGAAAGAGATAAGTGATAATGAATCGAGTGATGATGATGATGAAGAAATGAATGAAGATATGGGGTTGTTTGTGAGGCGATACAATCTATTATATCACAAATTTTACCCTTAGATTCCTTGATCCTTTGCACATCATCTTAAGTCAATCATTCACGCATAACTAACCATTTTATCTAGTTTTTGTTTGTTTTGTAGGTCCGCTGAAGAAAGTTTGATCCTGTGTGTATGCTCATCAAGAGTCTACTCTTTTACAAGTTATGTGGAATTCATGTGTATGTAAAAGAGAGATATGCCCTCATATTTACGGTCCATAATCGGTACAAGGTTATTTCGTCCTCATGATCCATCAAAAGGTTCGGGGCATAATTAAGAAGGATTACAAGTCCTATCTCTTGGTTCTGAACATAGCCATTTGAGAATCAGTTGGAATTCCATGGCGTGTGGTATTACAGATAGCACTATCACTTTAAAAGAAGCTCTCAAGGTATAGTCTGATATCATTAGCGAAGTTAAATTAGTAGTGTTGAAGTAGAAGGACGTGCACTTTTGGATGGTCTATGAACCACATGTTTTTGAAATATTATTCATGGACAAAGGAATGAAATTAAGGTTTAATCTGAAGAAGGTTATGAATGAGTGCATGAACTCAAGTCGATTAAGGCCATCTCCCATTATACCTTCGAACTAATTTGCGCCATTAATTGGATCTCAATTTATATCAAGTAGGATCTTATACCGTAGTTCAAGTGGTTTTCCAGTTTCGTTTCTAGTTCATACCAAACTATGATCAAGTTCATCCCAATCTCCAAGCTCATATATCTCCAAGCCGATAACAAGAACATCATACTATTTGATTTACAAAGATTAAATGTGTGTTAGAATTGAAATTAAAGTTATTACTTCACTCATGGATACAAAATCTTGAAGCAAATTTTGAGTTAGAATTTCTTAAAGACTTATGAAAACTCAAATAGAATCATCATCTAAATTCAAAGTCATGGAAAATTTTCTTATTCGAATCTCAAATTCAAAAGAATTCGCATGTTGTTTACATCATGTTTGATTTCAAGACCCGAGAAGTCCAAGATTGCAAGGCATCATGAAAATCATAAGATCCATACAAGTTCATAATTCAAACTTATTTTGAACTCAAGAAAGATCAAAGGATTGAACTTTAAGCTTTAAAATTCTATGCAAGGCTATAAGTTCAAACATAAATTCTAGCAATGATCAAGATTTAAACGCAAAGCTGGAGGGATTGTATTAAAGATCAAAACCTACAAGTCTCGTTATCACAAACTCCTCAAGATTATCATTTTCAAGTCACAAACTAAGATTATCCAAATTCCTTCATTACTCCACAAATTACATTCCAGGAACAAATCGTAAGCTTGAAAAATTGGACCATATAAATCCAAGATTGTACAAACAGTACAAAGATCTATTGCAAGCCAAATTTGAAGTTTAGTACAATTTTATATACAATTAACTTATTACTAGCGAAAGAATTGTGAAGGATGTTAATCCTTTGTGGCTTTGGTAAGAGGCGAGAATGATCCTTGTGGACATGTACCCTTCACCGACAGACATTTCATCTGAGTTATCTACAAAAAGAAAAAAAAAACAGTTAAAGAAATCGTGGAAAATACATTCACGATTAAAGGATATCCAAAGATGGTGTTCTTGCTTTGCTTCCATAATTTTATCTTTGATATTACTACCGACATAGCCAATTACGAAGAATTTTTTGATTATAAAAGAATGTATGATTTTCAAAGGATCAACAACTTAATAGAATGTCAAACACTAGATGCGTCCAGAATTATTGGACTATATTCTGAAAATTAACAATCATACTCATAAATCATTATGGCCGAGTGAGAATTTGAGGAGCAAACGGTGGAAACGAGGATCCGTACCTGTGGGGAGGTTGGTCGAAACAGCCTGCAAAAATCCACATCATAACAGAGTGATATTTCGGGCGTCTCCAATGTTACGGTTGGTATGATACCATCAGCAAGTACTTCCCAAGTTAGTCCCAGATCTGACCAAATAAAAAGGAGGGATTGCATCGATTCTTCTTTGGTTGCTTGGTCCTGCTACAATGTCTACGGCAGCAAAGGATACGATGTTAGTTTTGTTCTAGCTCTTTCGAAGTAATCTTCTCAATATCTGCACCAGAAGAGCCAAACCTGAAAAATTGATAAATCTGAATCAGAGACAGTAGGAGTGAAATATCCCTGGAAATCATATAAATTTGAGAATACTAATCCACACTAACATATTCAAACATTAACGACAAATTGTCGGATCTAATTCATTACAAAATCCAGGCATTCATGATTATCATCATTAAATCTGGCCAATGAATAATGAACATTAATCTCCAAGACAAATATGTCTCAGACGTGATCAGAAGAAGCTCATCAATTCTTTCCAAGACAGTAACAAGCGTGCCATTCAAAGTGTTCAGACACAATTGGTTGAAAAAGGAAAGTTTTTAATTTGTCTAAAGATGTTGAAACAAAGGATGGAAAAAGTCTGTCAGACTTTTAAGATAAGGCTCAAGCATGTTTAGACAGCTTCAATTTGTTTCCTAATCAGTAGCAATCAAGGTATATAAAATGACATAATCGTTTGCAAAAGGGAGAGGGCACACATACAAAGATTCACATACAAGCACAGAGAAATTTGAGGGAGGGAGCAATTCACACGATTCGTAAAACACATACACAAAATCACAACCTAAGAATTCACACAAAAAAAGGAGAAGAAGAAGACCATCAGTACATGACAACAAAGGGGATGACAGAGAGAAGGAAAGAAGAGAAACTTATCATTGAATTCACCGACGTCTCCGATTTATTGTTCTGAACTCGAAGGTATGCGATTTCTTTCAGCTTCGACTTGTATCTCAAGCTTGTATCACTTTGATTTAGAATCTTCAACTCGAACCTACAGTTAATTATATCTTGCCGTCGAGTTACGAAGGAAGCGGAAACCACGTCCCCGGTGATATGAGTGAGATAGGAATGGAACCACGACGGAAGTTAAGCGTTTGAGCTTCGCAAGACGAAGGGGAAAGCCGTCGCGAGAGTCGCCTCTTCGTGTTGAACCGATGATGAGAGTGGTACCATCGGACATCATTTAGGCTGTTAGGGTGCCTCATGTTAGGGTTTGGTATTAACGAACAGGGAAGAGGAAATGGAGGCGATAGAAGGGAAAGCATGGTAAAACCGACGCCGCAAAAACTAAGCTCACGAAGGGGGGTTTATTTTATTTTATTAGTTAATCTTTAACTTAACTTAATTACAGACTAATTAAATTTAGAAATTAATTTTTAATTTTTTAACTAAGTTTTAACTTATTATTTTAAGGTTTATTTCTAATTCATTTGATTTCCAACATAATTCTTACCCATTGCTTATCTTTTCTTTCCTTTATCCTAGTAATCTCATTTTCGTACTTAACTTATGACATAGACTTCGTTTAATCTCATTGTAGCTCGAGCTTGTTGACTTTGTTTAATTAATCGCATTTGTCTTCATAATACTTATTTATTGCCTTTTTGTTTCATTGACTTGTTCTTTGGGTTTTTGCCTGACATATTGTACCTTTTGTATGCGCTTCATATTCCAAAGGAGAACTTTTCCCCTTGTTAACTGCCATGTTAAATCTCAGGGATTCTAGATCATCTTCATCCTAGCCTTAGGATCAGAAGTCGTCGTACTCCATGCAACATCCTGCCATGGACTTTCTCATTTTCTCTTTCCCTTATTCCTAGCCTTAGGGTCAGGAGTCTTCGTACTCCATGTGAGTTCTCGCCGTGGATACTTACCTACTTTTTCAACTTAACTTCAAACTTAGACTAGGAGTTGTCGCATTCCACGTAAGTGTCTCACTATGAACACTTACTTCGCTCTGGAATCTTGACCACAGTCAAGAGTTCCTCACCCTCGTTGAGGGGAACTACAAATACTCTGATTCCATTCTCGTCAGGATACGTAGGCACAAGATGCGATTTCTTGACGAGTATACTTAGGACTAACCCCTTAGGTCTCTCTCTTTACTTTCGACCCTTTAGCAGATAACAGATAGATTAATAAATAACACAATGTTAAACAAGAGATTCCTGTAGAGTACTACAGATGCTTAGGATGCTAACACCTTCCCTAGGTATAACCAACCCCCGAACCCTAGATCTCCCCGCATTGTGTTTATGATGCAATTAGGTTTTTCTTTCTTTAACCTCTCCTTTGGATATATCAAAGACCAGTTGTGAATTCAAATATTTGCGATTCAAATTTATTCAATAGCTTGAAATCCGATTCTCACCGCAACAGGAAATGGCGACTTCACTGGGGCTACCATCTAACTTTCTAGGGTTACCCCTAACTTGTTTATTTATGTTATTTTTTAAATTTTTTTGTATATATATTTATATGATTATACTTGCTTTGGTTATATACTATTGTGAGATAAGTCCTATACCCGGACTTGAGTGTGCTTATGGTAGGAAGGTGATATATTCGACGAGGCTTATAGGGAGTGATTCCCGACCAAGCTGACTTGAGAATCACCGCTCAGTTGAGGCCCTCTCGAGAACAATGTTGTGGAACGAGTATTCATGAACACAATTACTACTATCGACCTAGGAGCCTGTGATACTAGGAACCTTTAGTCACCCTTAACACAACTTTGGTCTTTCTTAGGACGTAGTGCGATGACTATGAGGAAGTAGACCCAAAGTAGTTAAAAAGTCTAAATTAAATTCTAAAGGAAACTAAAACCTAATTCTAATTCTAAAATTATTAAATTCTAAAACTATCACTAATCTAGTTTTAAAAAGTTAAACAACTAATCTAATTAAATAAAACTAAATTATTAACTAAATAAATTCCAAATACTAAATATTCTAATAAAAAACTAAATTATTAAGAAAATTCTAATTTAATTAAAAAAACTAATTTAGTCTAATTTCTAAAGTTAACTAAATTCTAAACCAAAAATCAAATATTCCTAAAAAAACTATGATTTTAAATCCTAAAGTCTACTAATTAAAACCTAATATAACTTAAAATCTAAATAGAAACCTAAATCCTAAAGTTGATTAAAAGCTTAATTCTAAAGTTAATTCTAATTGAAATAATCCTAATTTAATTCTAAAATTATTAACTAAAATTAATAAAACTAATCTTAAGGTTAAAATACTAATATTAAAATAACTAAACTAATTACTAATATAAAAATCTAATATAAAAAATAAATACTAATTACTAATCTAAAAGTACTGAATAAATTACTAATCTAATTAACTAGAACCTAAGCTAATTAACTAAATAAAAAAACTGATTAAAAATATTAAATTAATACTAATTAAGACTAAACTAAATTAACTTTCTCTCTTTCCCATGATTCTCTCTTCCCTACGTTTTTCTTTCCTCTTCCCAAAATCTTATTCCTCTCATATATTCTTCTCCTTCTGAACCATTTCTCTCAAACGAATCTCTCCTCTCAAACGTCTCTCTTCTACCATTTTCTCAGAGCATCCATTCAAACAAAATAATCAAATAAATACTTAGCGAAAGAAAAAAAAAACAAAAAACCAAAGTCTTACTAGAATGATAAGTGGCCGATGATTTCGCATATGATGGTCAAAAGTTCTTAGATCTGCAGCGGTGGTGTCGGACGAAGATACGTTTCGTCGGTGGCCGACATGCTGTTGTGCAGATCCATTTTACGCGAGGAATGAGGTTGACCGCGGATTTACAGCGACTCTGGGCGGCGTTTTATTGTCGCAGTTGTGGTTCAGGTATAACAGATCGTTGTTCATGATTTGTGCGAAGAGGTTGGGTTGATTGTGCTGAATGTTGATGATAGCGACAACGTGTTTAAATTTTTTGAAGTGAGAAGCTTGAGCTATGGATTAGAAGATACAATTGTATGTCGTGTTGTTGAAGTGGTGGAAAGAAGATTAACAATGGTAGAGAGGGTGAGTCATCATAGCAGAAGGTTGAAGTTTATCAGGAAAAGGATGAGAAAGTTTTGGTTTTAACAGTGATGAAGATGACTGAGGGATAGGTTTTTATTCAAAAACAAGTTTAGATGATCGAAAGTTTTGCTGCCGCAAAATAAGGGTGAGTTTTTGTGTTCAAAACTTCTTGCTGTGTATCCCCCAAATTCTCCTCTCAGTCCTCTTTTATTTGTATCTCCTCATCCTTCTTAAAATTAATCTTAACCTCTTCTTCATTTTTGACATTGTCTGCTGTTGAGAGGTCCCTCTCATTGTGCAGGTGTTGTCTGCCGGTGTATGCTGTTGTTTTGATAATTTTGGCAAGTTTACAGAGTGGTGGTTTGTAGAGCAGGTGCAAGTACATTTCATTTTAGTGAAACTATTGTAACAGAGTGTTAGCTGCAGAATTGTACAAATCGTGCATGGCTGATAATATGTTGGAGAGTTGGATGATTTATGGGGGGGCACGGGTGAGGCGTGCTGTTTTTTTTGTCTTTTGCAGGGTAGGGTAAACTTATTCAAAGTTGCAGCAGATACTTTTGGAGCACAGTTGCAAGTTTTTTTTTGGGATAATTTGAGATGGGCCTAAGTAATATCATGTGGACTTTTGTAAATTGATTTTTGTGTAGAGATTTCTTTCTGATAATGGATTTGTATATAAAAAACTTAGAAGAATGGATAATAAAAAAGAAAATGGAATTTGAAATGGATAGTTGATTTTGAAAAGTGGATATTTAATTTCTAGAAAGTGAAAAAGAAATAATGGATAATGGGAGAAATAATGGATAAATACAAATATATGAGTAACTAAGATGATGTTTGGAAATGGAAAGTGGATAACAATATGGATTTAGAAAGAATGGATTTTAAAAAATGGTGAATTTGGATAATGTATGAAATAGAAAAAAGGTAATTGGATTTAAATGAAAAATGAATATTTGGGATTTGAAAAGGATATTGAAAAATAATATGGATATTGAAAATTGGAAGAAAGAAATGGTTTAAAAGTGGATAATGATGGATAGAAAATGGATTATGGACAAGAAATCCTTATTTTAG